TGCCGAGTTGCAGGAGTAGAGGAGCACTTCATGAGCTCAAGCAACTGTACTGCCTGTACAGAGCTGTTTCTGACCAATTGCTGGGAGGTGGTTACCTCCTGGCAAAGGGACATTGTGGGTCTGTTATTTTGTAGAGCTATTGCTTCAGTTGCACAAACCACCCTCTAGCCTTTGTTTTTAAAGCTGATGGCAAAGGACATAATCATCCACCCGCTAGAGGGCTGGGAGAGTTAAAACAGAGTAAAAAGTTTTAATGCAAATGGGAGTTTAGCTGATCAGGAATCTGAGAGGACACTGAAGGAGGGACAAGGGTTTTTTCTCTGGCATTAAACATCCAGGTAATAAAGAAAGTAGGGTCCTTGCTCAGAATTCTATCCTGCATGCATCCAGCTAAAAAAACCCTCTACCGTTGTGTTTAATTGTGTGTCAGCTGAAGCAGACAATTTTGACAACATTTAGCAAGCTTTGAATGAGAGACTGAATGATGGTGAATGTAGTCTGAGATAGCTTTTTTTATAGCCATCACATTGGTAAGACAAGGGCATAGCCATGAGCTGTGGTCCAAGAAAATTAGTTCTGAGGTAGGTGGAGTGGTGAAGTGTGTAAAATCAAGAGTGAAGGATTTGATCCATTTCATAGTTAATGTTCCTCCTGTGTAAAAAGACATTTTTACAGATGTATGACTCTTACATTACTTTCAAGTTGCTGCACCCCTAATCCTTGGTGAAACAGCATGTGCTTGAAATGGAGAGGATATTTGCCTCTTAATGAGTGGCTACAGAAGCTGAGTTTTACAAGGCTAAAGCATTATCAGTAAGGCTGAATACCTAGTGAGAAAAAATAAGGCAAGGAACTTGCTTCCTACTGGGAATGAGGGCAAACGGGGTCTCCAAAAAGCCTTCTTCCACGTATCGCCTCATCAGCGTAACAGCGGTTTGCCATCCTTTCTGTGAGCACAGATGGAGCACAGAGTCGCTACAGGTGGCCTCTAGCAGGGGACTGGCACAGCTGGAGGCTGCTGTGCAGGTGGATGAAGAGAGGTTGAGCTCTTCCTGGCCTTCATGACTGGCCAGCTTGGGGAGAGGAGACAAAGAGTTCACTCTGCTCCTTGGCCAGCAGAGATGTTGGCCTTTAATTTAGTCTGGATAATGCAGTTAGTTTTCATTATCCCTTCGTGTAGCATTCCTATCATACATTTTGTTTTTCCAGGGCTAAATGCAACTTACCAAGATCACTATTGCATCTGCTTTAAAGTCCTTGGGGCATTATTTTTTCTTCTTTAGTGATCACTTTATTCTCTTCCTGATACAAATAGTGACATTGTTCTTCCATTGAAGTGAAATCACACACGTTTCTCTTGACTAGTAACTTTAAGACAAAAAAGCCAAATTTTCATATTCATCTACCTCCCCAAAGACTTCATTGCTACATGTCCTGATTCCTTGCATGTGGTTGTTCCTGGCATTATTCCTTGTACACACAGCTTCATTGATACATGCAGAACCCTTGTGCTGTGCTTGCTTTTGGCTACTGGAATGCAAATGCAACACGTTCTGTGACTAGCTTGGATTTTCAGGCAGAATTACGTATTTTCAAACAGCTAACATGATCAAATAATTGGTCTGTGTTTAGATAGTAGTACTGTTTTGTTTGTACTTGGTTTAACATTGAGGGAGGAAATAACTTGTATTTGCTGTGGTGTGTTGCTGAGTAAAGATTTTTCTTACAACTAAGGACTGATAGAGTCATGGGCTTTCTTATGCCTTAAGCAGAAAAATGTATGTCTGCTTTGAGTTACTGTACTGCAAATACTTAGTGCATTAACAGCCTTTTAATTTAATTTCTGATCAGTGTTACAATTAGCCTGTATATTTCAGTCTAGCGGAAGATTGGATTTCTTAAACCAAGATGATGCCTTTTAGGTGTTTGTTGTTGTTTTTTAATTACACCTCTTTCTAAATTGTTCCACAATTCAGGACATCTTTTTGTGAGGAGTATACGGTAGTCTTTCTTTAGACACTGCTGAACTTTGAAGAAGTCTGCACATAGATGAAGAAGCTACCTCTTTCAATTTGTGTATGGGGCTTTATGGTTTACTGTAAACACATCAGTTGCCCAGATGTAATAAGTGCATTCTAAATTAGTAATTAAGTAAACTGAGCATCACCTCACAAAATGTGAGGTTCTGGATCCAAGTAACCTTGTGAGTCCCAAAATCATGGCTTGGAAGATGCTTACTGACATTAATAAACAATGTAAAAGTTTTAAATCATCCGCTGATAGTGAAATCTTTCAGGCTAGAATTGATGTTTATGTTTATTTTGCTTTTTCTCATGTTATTGTACTGCCTTTGATTTGGGGAACGTGTGTGTGATAGTGAGATAATACGTTCTGCTAATGTGAATTAGAGAATGCTTCATTACTTCAGACTAGTAGATAAAAACTTTTAAAACCATACCATGTTTTAGCTTTTTTAAGTTGTGCCAGGTGCTAGAGGAAAAGAGAATTTTCAGATAGTCTCCTTTAATCAGTATTTATCTTTTTGAAAACTTCACTTGACTTTTTAACTTTTGAAACCAGCTGCATCACTTATTTCAGGGAGTTCAAAAGCACACAGCTGCAATGAACTTGAAAAAGTCTTCTTATCGTCCCAGAATCACAGCTTTAAAGTCTGTTGTCTCTTAGACCCCATTCTTCCCTCCCCTTTTTCCAGCCTGAATGGCCATGACTTGATGTCTTTATAGCTAGAAAAGCAGTTGTTGGTATAGGAAAGTATTACAAGTTCACAAGTTGGTTTTTAAGGCATAGCTTTGGGGAAAACTTCCACTTTTTGAGGTGGCCTAAGAGGAAGTTACAAGATAAGATAACTTTTGTGCTGAGGGAGAAGCTGAGCAGGATGGAATATTTTGTGGGGCTGTGGAAAAAGTCCCATGAGCAGTGGTGGCATGTGGATTGGTCAGAAGCAAATGAACAGTGGAGCTTTTGCCACTTTCCAGAAACCCTAAGGGTGTCTGTATTTCTGTAGTTGTCTTTGGATGTGATATTACCCTCCTCCCTAAAGAAAAGGGGCCACTGGCTCAGATCTATATGTGGATTACCACATCTCACATTTCCCTAACCTTCATGTCTGCCATCTGAGATTCAGGAGAGGGTTTTTTATTAATTTGTTTTAATCTGTTGTTAGGGATGAACCTTCATGAGGAGGATCAAACTCCTCCTTTAATGTACAGTGCATAAGGTGTAACAATACTAAATTTCAATGTTCTAGTTCAAAAAGCCAGTTGAGTAACAAAAGCCCATAATGAGGATCTTTGGTGACCCTCAGCTGAAGGGTCACATTTGGGGTTTCCCTTGTGCTCACAGCTCAGGGAACTGCAGTGGATGAGTGTTACACACATTGGGTTCTGGATCTGTCAAATGACTGAAATTAATTGCTGCTATGTTAAATGTCAGTGCTTTGTTGGAGAAGTAAAGAGTTTAAAAACTCAGCAAGCGTGTTTTCAATACATGCTTGTATCCATGATACGAACTGTGGGAAGTGTGACATGACATGCGTGTAGGTTTTGAGTCTGAGCTTTCTGGAAAGCTGTGGGTGTTTTGGGAAGTCTTTGCCCCTGCCTGAACTGCACAGCCCCTTCCAGGAAAATGTACTGCCATGCTTTCCCTCTCTGTCTCCCAAAGCGTAGCTTTATATGTGATGGTGAGAATATCAGCTCCAGTTTTTATAGAGCCAGTAGGGTGACCCCTTGGGAAACACCATGGAGCTTCCCTGTTTATTACATTTCTAGTAGCCGTTCCTGGCTGCTGTCAAGTACTGAACCAAAATGGACTTATGGTTTGGCTGTTTTATGGCTGGTTTTGTATTCCCAGGCTCTGCTACTCTGACTCACATGTGGACCTTCATTTTCCCCAGAACCTCCATTCCCATCCTCTTCACCCAATAAACAGTTTCATTTGTGAGGACACCTGCACTCATCGTCTTGGAGGATTAACACTGTCATTGCAGGAATAATTTTTTTCTTGTATTTTTTTTGTGTCAGTTCAGCTTAGTTCCTATTCTTGTATAGATGGACTGCCTACCCATATAACACATCCTATCCCTTGTGTGGGTGGTAGTGCTCAAGCCGTTGACTTCTGGGTCTGGTATTTCGTAACATTTTTTAAGTAAATGTTGTCCTGTCCCTGCAGAAGAGCGGGTCGTTCCCATTGAAGTCTGCCGTTCCAAACTGTCAAAGTACTTGCAGGGCGTTGTTTTCCGCTGTGATAAGTGTACCTTTACCTGCTCCAGTGATGAGAGCTTGCAGCAGCACATAGAGAAGCACAATGAACTGAAACCTTACAAATGCCAACTCTGCTACTATGAGACCAAACACACAGAAGAGCTGGACGCTCACCTTCGAGATGAGCACAAGGTAACATCCAAATAGTTTTAGTTTGTAGCATTTAATTTACTTGCATGTCAACTCTAAGTAGCCAACTTGTCATTGGCTTGGGGTTTTTTTCTCTCCTTCCGTAGATCTGGAAACTAATGCCTCCCATGTTGGGCTTCACTTCTGCTTTCTATTTCTTTTTTTTTTTAACTTAGGAACTCAAAATTTAGGATCTCTGAAGCTGTTCAGAATGACCAGATTTGGCAGGCTGTTGTATGCAGAGTATGATTGTCTGGAAAAGGCACTTGTGTATGCTGAGTTTATTTAAAGAGGGAAAGAAAAAAGGATTGTGAAACAATATTAAGGCTGTGTGAATCAGCCTCTCTAAGAGGCAGGAGATTCCAAATGTAAGACTGCTCTGGCAACTTCAGCAGTGTGACATGCCATGCATATTTTAATAACAAAGAGGGAAATACATCCCCATTTACATTTACCAAGGGAAGGATAATCAGCAAGTAAAACCAGGTCCTAAGCTAAGACTGCTGTGGAGTGTTTGTGGAGTGCTTGAGTACAGGCCTGATCCAGTCTTTGAGAAGTCATTAGAGGCTTTCCACAGACTGTTAGCTTTGAATTTCTGTAACTGGAGCTGTGTAGCTGAGAGACACTTAAGTTCGAGAACTGAGATGCGTTTTGCAGTATTTGTTAGAGTACTTCTTTGTCACTTTTTCAGGGCAGGCAGCTATATTCCCCCACCTGTTGGAGCTAAGCTGCCGAGGTCCTCACTAAAAACTCACTCCTACTTTGACTGAATTACCCTTTCCTTACAGCCAAATACATTTATATTGTCAGTATTAGCAGCAGAAGTCCCAGTAAAAGTTCTCATGCTTAAAAAATACTTGGCTGTCTTATAAAAACAGACTGTGGAAACTTACAGTGGTGTGCTGTTTATTTGTCCTCTTTATTACTTCTGGGGAGTCTTCTGCAACTCACACAGTACATGAGATGCTCCTAGTCACCACAACAAGGCTCATGATGTATCCAGGAGGCACTGTTCCTCATTCTTTTAACACAGTGTGTCAGGCTGGGAAGATTATTCCTTTAGCTCTCCCCTCCAATCTGGATAGTGCCAGTAGTTTAGGGTATCTTTTCCCTATTTCTTCTGGTAATTTATGTCTCACTAATTATGTCAAAGTTCTGGGCTTGGTTACCCAAGTGATATACTACACCTTAAAGAGTTCCTGTGCATGAGCTGACTTGAATTAAGTTCCTTGGATGTGGTCTTGTTTGTTTAAATCTCAGTGGGTAACATGTTAAGCCAGAGAGCCTCATCACAGCTGTCTGTACAGAGTAGTGCTAGCGATCTTCACACCACCACATTTAGGATAGTTTGCTGTTTGGAAATATACTACAGCCTAATTCACATGCTTCTTAGGTTCATTCACATTCCCTTTCCCACAGAGGTTTATAAAATAGTCAGTGGGTGTTGATATTTCATTCAGCATCTTGCAGGAGGTGTTGTACTGCGCTCATTCCTCCATCTCCATCCTCTCTGACTCTGTGGCTCAGTGCCTGTGCTGCTGGCGGGCTGTCTCTTTGCATGACAGATGAATCCAAAATCCTTCCCAGCAGTGATCAATGAGCTCAGTGGGCGCTTGTCATCCAACAAGTGTTAGCCCTAGTGTCCTGGTCATGCTCCACGCTCTCCACCTCTACTGTAAATCTGGACTGCTTCTCTGCCATTTCTGTTGGATGCAGTGGAGTTCCTGACTTCTGTGCCCTCAGCTGCTCCTTTCATACTGCTGCTGTGAGCTGTTAAGTGGCTGGTGCATTTCACCCTAGGGCTAGCTGAATTTGACTGCTGGGTGAAGTGTTCCAATTATAGTCTGTATATCAGTTTGCAAAGCACTTTGCAGTGCTTCATAATGAAAATTAATCTGTTATTAATGAGTGAAAGTGTATGTGGCACGCAACAGCCATGTGCTTAGAGTAAAGGACCTATCCTTTCATGCATGAAGCTGAATGAACCAGTCACAAAGCATTTTCCTTCAGTGTGGATGTGCAATAGCAGCGTTTGATCAGTGGTCTCATGGTCCCATAAAAAGAGGATATAACTTAGTATTGGCACTTATTGAATTTTTTTTCATACATCAAAACCAGGAAGAAATGAGTGGGGTTTACAGATTGTCATTCATTTTTTAAAACCAAAAATGACAAATTATGAGTAAACAGCAAAACAAAAACTACTACCATAGAAAATAAATGAGAGTTAATTTGATGAGGTGACTGCATGTCACCTAAAGCTGAGTAGGTTTTGGGGCTTCTTTTTTTGTTTTTCATATGTGGTGATATTTCTGATTTGCTGTTGATTGTGCTGATTGCTCACAAAAGTGTTTCTTTCAAAGGTGAGTCGTAATTTTGAGCTGGTTGGACGGGTTAACTTGGACCAGTTGGAACAAATGAAGGGGAAAACAGAGAGCTCTAGCAGTGATGAAGAAGAAAAAGAAGAAGAGTTAAGCCCCAAGACTGAAGAGAGAGGTCAGTGCAGATTTTTTTTTTCCTCTTTCTTTTTTGGTGTTGCAACATGCCCCACCAGTCCCACCAAGCAAGGTCAGCTGTTGACTCTGCAGCACATTGCTGTAGAGCCATGCAGGCATGCCAGCAGGAGCAGAATGGGGCTTTTGTGAAGACACTGCTCCTAGGGGAATCTCATGTTTCTAATCCTTATGAGAAGTTTTCTGTCTGTTAAGGAAATACGTACTATGAGAAAACACAAATAGCATCTGTGACTTATCTGCCCGTGCAGATAACATCTATAAGGACTTGGAAAACTATGTAAACTGAGTATTTTAGTGGTCTGTCAGATTTTCTGTTTTGGTAACCAATTTTCAGCTTTTCACTCAGCATTGTGCAAGTGAGGGATGAAAGGGTCATGGCCAAACTTTTTATGGGCTGTTAACTCTGTACCCAGCGCTCCTTTTCAGAGCGAGTCCCTCCTGTTGCGGTTGCTGCAGTTGGCAGCTCTGGAGCCCCAGGGTAGGACCAATGCCCCACCTGTACCTTTGTGTATTTAAATATGTGCCTACGTTCATGTTTAAGACTAATCCCACTTGAGTTCAGCAAGGCTAGACTGTGTGCTTGCTAATGCTTTTGGTTTGATCCAAGTTAGTTAAGCGGGAAAGAAGCGAGTTCTCTGTAAGTTGAACTAAAGGTTTCTTGTCCTTCCAACAACCTTCCCCTATGAAAACCAAGTTATTGCAGTATCTGCTGTAAACTATGTGTTTTCTAATCTGTGCTGCTGCGCAGTTCATCAGTCAAATCCAGTGTGTTCACAACTCTTTAACATCTTTAGGCCTGTGATGTCTGAATGTCAGGTTCCTGGGGGTCTCCCGTTCTCGTGATGCTGATGACCACAGTTAGCCAGCTTCTATGTACTTTAGCTAAAGGTATGCCACCAGGATTACCTTTCTCCTCCTGAATTTTCAGCTTTCAGAATCACTCAGGAGTTGGTCACAAAAGAAAATGTGTCTTCCTACATCTTTTCAGACCTTAAAAAATTATGATTTCTGAATTCACAGGTTGTTTACAGAATGGGAGGGGCTTTGATCATGTTTCGTACCTTTTAGTAACAAGATTCCAGTGTCTTGGCTCTTGTTTAGTGTCCCTGCAGCATAAATCTGGTCTGTGCTTATCACTATCACTTCATTTCAAGTGTGTTTAGTGATACCCTTTATTTAAATGAGAAAGGAAGTGTGTGGGATAGGAAACCATTTATGTTTCCATGAACGATATCTTTCACAAGATAGGTAGAGCAGTAGAAAAATCAGAGTAGGATCTAAAGGGATGTTTGTGCCATATGCACTTCAGGGTTTAACATTAGTAACTCATGTGGAAACGTGCTTGGTTGTCTGTTCTGGGGTGGCTTTGACCCTCAGAGCTTCGTGGCTGGAACAATGATTTGTGTAATGATTTGCTTTGTTTTGCAGCTGTTCTTTCCTGACTGGCCTATCGGGTCAATGTTTCACCATTGTTATCTTTTATCCTTTTTAATCTATTACCATTTAAAATATATTATACTAAAATAGAAAATGCAGAAAACCCTTATGCCTACTACAGCACAGGTATTTAGAGAAGATCCAGCTGTAATGACTATATTACTGTATAGACAAGTTGTGGATTACCATTGTAAGGTGTGAGATGCAAGGCACACTTTCAAAAAATGTCTCAGTGAGACAGGAATGAAGGCATGGTTGGATGCCAAGTTGCATGCTGACGTCTCCCTGTGGATTTTCAGGAGAGAGCTCTAACACAGAAATGGTTTGCCCTGTTAGCAGAGGACCAGACCTATGGATTTAAATGTAGTCTGTCACAGTGGCTAATGCTGTCAGAGCTTTCAAACCACATCAAACTGTGTAATCCTGCACGCCACTTGGGTGCTTTTGACAATTCTAGTCCTTGTGGTGTTAGCAGGAAGTGGCATTTGCTGAGAGTGCCTCTGTCTGCTCTGAGTATCTGGAAGCAAATGCTGTCTGAACTCTCTGAAGTCTGTAACTCAGGCAGAACCAGGGTTTCTTCCCAGGAGTTAAACAGCTGCCTGGATTTGGCACTTTGACTTCAGGCAGGTATGCGCAGTGCTGTAGGTGCAGAGAAGAGTGTGCTGCTTCTCCAAATGAGCTGTTGAGCAGCGGTCAAAAGAAGGGCTAGACAGACCTGGGCAGCAGAGCTCAGCAGAGCTGAACTGCTGCCTTGGATAGGAAAGGGAGGGAGTGGCTGGCCGCTGGTGAAGAGTAATAGAAAACGTATTGACCTAGGAGGAAGAAGATGGTGTGAAAGAGAGTGTCTGACATATGCCATTGAAAGAACAGCTGTCCCTGGTAGGGACTGCATCCCAGAGGGCCTGTCTGTGTCTATGGGTCTTTATGTCTTGGTCTTAGCAGAAACTGGAATAGAGATGTGTTTTTCCACAGGAGACAAAAATGGATGTCTGTGAGTCCTTCTATGTGTGATGCAGGAAAACCACAGAGAAGTCAGGTGTCTTTGCAGTCTGTTACTTCTCTTCAGGCTCCAGAGAAGAGCAGTTTCTGATACTCCTCCAGGGAAGCAGTCCAAATTCACAGCCCTAGAAGCAAAAACTAGTCAGGAAGTAGGGTGAACAAGATAGTATTTTGTGAAGAGGTGATGAATTTACTCAAGTAGCACTTGCTAATCTTAATAGGAGTTGCAAGTATAAATCACACACTGGTTTGGTTTGGAAATGACCTTTAAAGATCATATAGTCCAGCCGCTCTGCCATGTGCAGAGACATCTCTCATGTAGTTCAAAGCACCATCCAACCTGGCCTTGAGCACTTCTAATGACTAAGGGGACATCCACACCTTCTCTGGGCAACCTGTTCTAGTGTCTCAAATCCTCACCTTAAAAAATTTCTCCCTTATGTTCAATCTAAACCTGCCTTCTTTCAGTTTAAAACCATTACCCCTTGTCCTGTCACTACAGGCTCTGGTAAAAAATCTGTCTCCATCTTTCTCATAAGCCCCCTTTAAAGTATTGAAAGGCTGCAATAAGGTCTCCCTGGAGCGGTCTCTTCTCTAGGCTGAACAACCCCAACTCCTCCCTATTTAAGCAAAACAGCCTCTATGTTGCCTATGTCCGTCCTGCAGAGGCCCAGATTAAACTTCCTCTTGTGTACTATGGTAGATATGTTCCTGTACAGATCAGCAGTGTTTGCCTCCAAAACTTTTAACCTCCATAAATATTTGTCCCTGTACCATGACTAGTGTGTGTGGTGTGATGTGTTTATAAATTTGTACCACACATAAGGTATTAAAATCCAGATTTAAACAGAACTAATGGCATTGACTTTCTTTCTGGTGTTCCACCTTGCTTTGTGATATTTAACTACATAATAAATCACTGATGGTAAGAAATACAAAGTGATGGTTTTTTCTTTCAGGGTCAAGTGGCAAAAAACAATGTCAAGAGCCATTCCATATAGAACTTTAGTAAAGGCTAACTAGTGAGAAATGTGTCACAAAAATACATTTACAGGACTTAACTATGGATAATAGGGAATATGTGAGCAATTTTAAGTTCATAGGCTGATTGTGAAGAGAGTAAATCTGAGAGTGAAGAAATCAAGTGAGCAGAGATCAGAACCAAAATTAAGCAAAATCCTTTCTCTTGTATTATGTAGTTTGAGAGGAGTCAGAAAGACATTCTGTTGATTTCTTGCTTAAGATAATCCCTGCTAAGGAATTAATGCTCTGAGCAGATGGTGCTGTCTCATTTCCAGCAAAAGAATCAAGTGAGATAGTCCATGCAATTATTTTTAATGGCTTGTGTGGTGATCTTCTTAATTTGTGAGAAAATGTTTCATCTTTTGTTAAAGCTGGCTTTGTTCACATGGAGCTTGGCTTTCAGAAATACCACTCCCTGAGCTGCCAGTGACTTCACTTGTATTACTGGGTGCTTGACACTTCTGCAAATGAGGCCCCAATCACTTTGTATAAAAGATTAGGATGGGATGAAACACCTATGCTGTTAAGATGTAGGACTTAAGCCATGAGACTTCATCATGAAGGGATATCAATTTATTATGAGCATCACATGTTAAATATACCAAATCTTTGTTTCCTAAAATTTGTACTACCAGTTAAAAAATGATTGATGGGCTTTAGTGGATTTTCTTATTTTGCTTTCAAACCATTTCAGACATTTTGGTTTTGAATTAAAACTCCAGAGTCTCTTCAGTTGTTGAAATACAGGAGCCATAACTCAATTGCCCTTCTTTGGAGAGATGCTTTAAGACTTAGGATGGGATTAGTTGCTTGCAGTGTTACTTTGCTTTGGGCGAGTTGCATTTTCACAAACGCAGCTATTTGATAGGTAAATCCTTTTGCTTCTCAGAGATGAGAAGATGCAGCAGAGGGGATCAGAGTAGGATTGCAATGGTCACTTCTTGCCCTGGCACTTCTGAACACATGGGCTATGCTATCTGTTTCCAGATGCCATGATGTTTTCTGACAGCGGTGCTCCAGAAAAACGCTTCCCATGTGAGTTCTGTGGCCGAGCATTTTCAGAGGGCTCTGAGTGGGAGCGACACGTACTGAGACACGGCATGTAAGTTGGTTTACACTCCTTTGCCAAACAGCCAATGGTAACAGTAGATCTCTGTGCATTCCCTCACCCCATTTCTCACCTCCCAGAAAGGTCACTGATGAAGGCAAACTCAGTTCTGTGAAGAACAATTCTGTCCATCACAAGTGTGGGTGCAGTCACCAGATGTCTCTGCATGGGAAGTTCCTGTTCATCCTTTTTAACTCTTCTGCCCAGAGTGACTACGGGGCTTTAGCCCCGTGATTCTAAAACTTATGATTGTCCCAAGGTGAATACCACTCAGCCGAGGATTAGCTTTACCTGAGTGTACTGTTGATTTTGCCTGCCGCCAGAGCAGCATAAAAATGGCAGAAAATTATATGGAATGTTCTAGGAAGGAACTAGGCGTAGGGGGTTTCCCTTTTGTTGTTATATCTCTTTCATATGCTTCCAGCTAAAGTTGCATAACAGTGCGAAGAATTACATGCAAAGAAATGTCGAGACCTTCAAAGGAAGTAAAATCAATCTGAATGAAATCCTCCCAAAATGTGCATAGTGACGTTCACTAGTTTATCTTCATAGTGAAGGTCTTTGCCTTTCTGTAGCAGTTTGCACACTGTCAAATGATACGCATTGCCGGTAAGATAGGCATCTCTGGAACAATAATTTCCCTTCTTTTGATGAAGATATCAGTAGCAGAGATATCTTGCTGACCAGAGTTTCTTCAAAGAGTAGATTTCATTCAAGATTGCTGACATGTGGAAAACATTTAAATACAATATAGTAAGTTAACTGTGATGAGATGAGAAATACTACTTTTTCCCTTAATCTTGTCTGCCTAAATATGAGTATTTGAAATGTTGCAACCTATAAAAAGTTTTATTGGATCACTAACTCTTTAGGAAAATTACTTTTCTCATAGGATATTTTATGATTCTATGATTCTAAGTTGAAAGCAGCCCATGAGAGTCATCAAGTCCAACTCCTGACTCCACACAAGACAATCAGAAAGTTAAACCAGATACCTAAGAGCATTGTCCAAATGCTTCTTAAACCCTGACTGGCTTGGGGCCATGACCACTTCCCTGCAGAGCTTGTTCCAGTGCTTGACCACTCTTTCGGTGAAGAACTTTTTCCTAATGCCCAATCTGAACTCACCTTGATGCAGCTTTAAGTCACTGCCTCATGCCCTGTCACCAGGCACCAGAGAGATCAGCGCCTCCCCTTTCCACTCACCTTCATGAGGAAGTTGTAGACGGTGATGAGGTCACCCCTCTTCACTCTCTTCTCCAAGCTAAACACACCTAATATCCCCAGTGACTCCTTATAAGTCACACCCTCTATGCCTTTGGTGCTTTGTAAGTCTTGTTTACAAGGGACTGGAGAAAGGAGAATGAACTTTTAAAAGTCAGAATTTAGTTTCTTCCCCTTTGTCTCACATCTGTCCCAGTGCAGAGCAAAGATTTGGTTTCAAAGCTACAATGTCATGAGTCCCACTGGTAGCTTCCTTCCACTGCCTCACTTCTTGAGGATGAGGTGGCAATGGTGTGGCTGATTGCATCTGCCTTTTTAGAAATTGATCTGGTTTTCTCCTTTGTATGATAGGCCCAGGTTGGCTTTGCTGTTCTCTCTGTTGACTGTAAGTATTTGTGTTTTCTGCTGCTCGACTTTCCAGGGCACTGAACGAAAGCAAGCACAGGACCAGTGAGAACAGCCACCCAAAAGAGGACATAGAAGAAACGGTTAGCACGCTGCCAGAAGAAAAAGAAGTCATTGAAAAAATGGTGGTGGACTATTCCCACAGCAGTGAAACAGAAGTCAGCATGGTAGCTGCTGACACACCTCTCCAGGACAACTCGGAGGCCAAAAACGAATAAGCATTTGGTGTGATTCTAATCAACGTACTTGAACGTGATGAACGGGGTGGGGTGGGTGGGGTGGGCAGAAGGAAGAAATAAAGCTGCTTTTAGGACTGAATGATCTATTTTCAAAGCACTGGTACCTGTGTGAGTGTGTGTATATTGAAGTTATTTAAAGTGATGGAATAAGTGGCTCCATTACATCACTGCATCTTTTCTTCTGAATCGTGACAATGGGAAGTTATATTCATCATGGACTAATGAAGCAACTCCCCGTATTTCTACATTACTCATCATGCTTTGCAGTGGAGACTTGGATTGTTTGTGAATGGAAGCGTCGTGAGCATGGAAGAAGTGGGGGGGACAACTTTTCAACGCACAGATTTGGGTGCGTTTTTCTAGTTTTAATACATACCGCTTTTCCAGACTGAATGCAACTGCTTTAGAAAAGGAAAAAAAAAAAAAGAAAAAAAAAAGAAAAAAAAGCCAGGAAAAAAAAAGGAAAACAAAAACAAAAAAGAAACTGCTTTGCTTAAAACAGTCACCTGTTTCCTAGTACCTCAGAATTAACCAAGGGAGATCTCTGCATTTGTCAGTACTACCTGTTGTCATTGTGGTTAAATGTAGAGAGACTGCTGGGCAAGGTGGTGAGCGGAGGAAGAAAAAATTTTAAAGAAAGGAAAACAAATCGTGCTTAAAATCCCAGTGTGGGTTTTATTTCTTAAAATACTGTGATTTTTTTAATTATTTTAGTAAAAAAAAAAGAACAAAAAAAGAGAGAGACTTTAATTCCTAGATAACTGTTTGTGAATTGTCATCCTTTATTCCAGGTAAGCTGTTTGTTAGTATTCAGTTATAATTTTAGGATTTGATAGATTTCATGTGACTGGTTGTGCGGTTTTGTTTGCCACATGTTTATTTTCTATCAGCCTGAGGTGTTACAAATACAGCACAATTAAGTTTATCATGTAAAATGAGTATTTCTTTTTGAGGGGGGTACAGGGAAAGGAGACTAGATCTTGTGAATAGAACCTTTTGTTGTTGCTGTTGTTGTTAATTTTAAACATACGGAAATAACAAAGACGTTTTAACTTTTTTTTAAAAAAAACTAAAGAACCAAACTTACGGCACAGCTATGCAGCTCACGGGCCAAACACATAGGTCCTCATAACCGTTCTGTTGCTTGTCATATTAACACCTATCAGTCTCACACCAGTAACTTTTTGTTAAGATTGGCTGCCATTTTTAATTCTGTCTGTGGTGTGTGTGTTTCCTTTTTGTTTTGGTGCGGTGGGAGGGAGGGGTGTCTGTTAACACATCTTTTTACAAGCGGAGGCGAAATAGTTACCTACGACATTGAGCCTGGAGAACTACTTTTACTCTATTCAAGGTGGAGTTGCTAAGTTTTTCCCCTCCTCTTTAGCTTTTAGCATGAGGGGAGCAGTGTAGAATGAATAGGAACCTGCATACCTATGTGGCCAATCCTGCACTACTTCTTGGGTGTTTAGCCTATCAAAACTTAATGGGGATCTTGCCTAAGCAGCAAATACAGGATCTGGTGCCTATGGTATGTTTTGATTGTGAACAAAAAAACAAAACAAAACAAAACAAAAAAAACCACAAAAAAAACTTTAAAAAAACTTAAAAAAAAACCAAAACAAAAAAAAGTTTATTTCCAAAAAAGTAGAAAGTACTTGACTGAAACCTAGTTTTAGAAATGCATGTGTCTTCGTTTGTTTTTTTTGTTTTAGGGGGGATCTGTGGGAGGGGGAGGGGGGAAAATAGGAAGCTGCTGAGGAAACTGTCCTAGAGAGCTTCACATAAAATTGATGGCAAAAATGTTGCATTTGTGGAATAAGTGCTACTTGAGAAGCATGGTGTTTTGCTTTTGGGGATTCATCAATTGTGTGTTAGGGGGATTCTTTTTATTTTTTTGTTTTGGGGTTTTTTTTGAGGTAGGGAGGGAATGTCATGAAAAACCACATTGGAGGGACAAATATAAATACACATTTTGTGTCTGTATTTGTTTTTTAATTGGCCTCATTTCAAATGTATTTAAACAGTTCCATACCTGGATTAGGTGTTTTTAATGGTTACCAAAAATGAAAAAGAAAAAAAAAATGATTGTGACATGCTTTTATCACTACTTTATTTTTCAAATAACATGTAAATATTGTAATCCATTGGATTTTGTTTTGCTAACCTGTTAATAAAACATATGGGACCATTATCCTTTTAACAAGCCTAGAATGTCATATTTTTTTTTCCCTTTTTTTCTTTTCCCAAAAATGTATACCTGATATATTGTGGACACTCATTTTAGATGCATTATTATGATTCTGTTGACTGTAATGACATAGAATTGAAAATAACATTTTTTTCATTGTTTAATTTATACAGAGGACTTTTTCAGAGTTTGACAGAAGGAAATAATAGCAAAATGCTAACCCATTGGCTTCAGCACTCGGTATTTCCTGATTTTAAAATTACTGCTTACTGATGTGGGGATAGGAAGGGGATACTGAACTGTTGCACTGACGGGTTTGTTTTTAAAAAAAAAAAACCAATGAAAATTAATAAAAACTTTTTAAGAGTGTGCACTTGTGTGTGTCATTTTGTATTGGCTACTCTGATGAGAGGTCTGTACAAGTGACTGGTTCTGCAGCTGGCAGCTGTGGGAGAGAGCAAAGCACCCTTTTTCTGCTCTGCACCCTTTCTTCCCCTAGTACACATAGAATTTTGGATTTACAGGGGAGGAGAGTGACTCTTTCTAGCTCACACAGGTGTAAGTTGTATCTTATCCCCAAAGAATGCCTTGAATACCCACCGGCCCAACATCCAGTAGAGGTCAAGGGCACTCTGGCAAGGTCCTGAACCCAAACAAAGAAATGAAGAAACTTTGCAGACTGTCTTGAAAGATCAAAACAGATAGAGACAGACTGGTATCTGGATTACCAACTCAGTCTCTTCATGGGTTGGTATGCTGTATGCTCCTATATCTGATGACCTGCTGGATGCAGCATTGAGCCTGGCATATACACCCCATAAGACAGAGTAGGAGGTGCTGTTTTTGGCTCTTTCCCAATTGAAAACTTAAAATTATGCTTGTAGTGTTGTTCTGGAATCTTCCTTTGCTAAACATAGATTTTTAAATGCACACTCAGAAGGTGTCAAAGGTATTTTTTCAGGTGTGTTTTGATCAGACCCTGTTTCCAGTTTAAGTAGCTTTTTGATTGTACCGGAACTGAATCTCAATGTGTATGATGTTAAACAGCATCAAGCTTTGATCAGCTGATTGCTTTACATGCTTCCACCTTTCCCCCTCGAGTCAAAACATTTCTCTGCTAAAGTACTTCCTTCTTTATGTTTAAAGGGGGGGGGGGAAATAATAAATGCATTTTAGGCTGTTACACGTTACCTTTTTTCGTTGGTTTCTGGAAACATTTGTTCATAAGGGAGACCTACAAATAATACGCACACTGTATGTTCTAGCCCAGAGCTAACCTGCACTTGCACCAGTTTGAAAAGAGAAGGGGTTGCTCAGTTGTGCTTCTCTAACAAGAATTACATATCTGACCTTGGGATTATTTCTAGAGTGTTACGGTTGTGTTATCCTAATGACCTCAGAGGCAGGGTTGTGTGAGTTTGAAACAAAGCCCTTGATCTTCCCGGTTGCAGATTTCTGACTGAATGTGCTTGGTTCACCTGCCTTGAGATTCCTGTCCTGAATTTAAATACGACAAAGGGGTGGGAGGGGAGAGGCAAAGGAAATGGGTACTAACATGATCCTTTACTCATGTTACTTCACAATTCTCTTTCTTGTAACTGGGAACCCCAGGCTCCATAGGTCACATTTGTGCCATGGGACTACTGGTGTTCTGCACACACTGTATCCCCAGGCTCATTGTCTTTACTTTTCTTAAGAAGTCTGGGTAAATGTTTGCCAGTTTATTGCTAGCTGACTGCCAGCATTTTCTTTTGGTCTACAGGTATGGTGCCTGAATGATCTCCATGCAAAGATCTTGCCTTCATATTCACACCAGTGCAAAGGCTTTGCAGGAGTTGCTATGGGAAGGCAGAGAGCTATCTGCCTCCCCTGCAAACACACAGCCTCCCTGGAGAAGAATTGAGCAGCTGAGGTTACCCTGTGATTTAGGGGCTAATGCTGAGGTTTGGCAGGGTCATGGTGAGAACTAAAGGTCCAAAAATGGTGTGTTTCCAGTGGAAAGCTCGCTCTTTGCAGAGTGAGAGACTACGTGAAATGTTGATACTTGTGGCTCAGTTATCTTGGAAAATGGTGCTACTCAAACAGCAAAAGTCAGTCTCCTGGCTTCAAGAAAATATCTAAATACAATCGCAGATGTTGTGTACATTTCAGTGAAAACAACCTCAATTTTCTCCACTCTTCCTCACACTGAAGTCTTTCTTTAATATTTTTCTTGATAACACAGGACTTTTCCACCAGGAAAGCCAGCTGTCTGGCTCCAGAGGACCAAGATTACTGAACAGGCAATGATTCTAGGTTAGAAGATTCTGGAAAAGGGAATGTTTTTAGTCCAAAATAGGCTTAAGATGTTAGAGAAACCTATTTTTGTTTGCAGAATGATTAACTCCATGCCCCCTACGGCAACTATGGCTGTACACAGGGATTTCAGTTTGAGCAGTCTGGAGCACAAAATTTAGCCTTGAAGCCTCCAGCCCTTCCAGGATGTAGCTCGTAAGCCTTTTATTGTCTTCCCATCTATCACTTTCCAAACTGTTCTCAGATAAGCAGCAGGGTGCAAACACCCTGTGAACCAAAGGTGGGGCTGGGTGGTGTAAGTCAAAGAGTAAGCATCCTGGCCAAAGTCATGGTGGAGGAGGCTGATGCCTACTTAGATCAACTGGTGTTTGGAGAGCCAAGCTGAAGATGTTGTCTTTCCTGCTATGTTTGCAGTTACTTACCTGTCTGTGTAGAAATACCATGTGTGTTTTGTAAGGTTAGAGGGAGAGAAGGAAGCCTGGTTCATCAGACATGC